GGCCTTTCTAATTATAGATGTGCTGGGTCACATTTCCTCCACCTGCACCTATAACAATAACAGCGTTCAGCACTTAACATTATCAAAGGCCTTTCCAGCTTGAACTAATTAATTCATACAATTCCAATCACCTGGGACAGATATTACTATTACCCAGGTTTCATAGACACAGAAAACTTCAAAAAACATTTCCCAAATGTCATACAGTAATTGGAGTGGGGCCAGGAGTTTATCTTAGAAGAACTAGATTTCTTAGTTTCATTAGAAGATGAGTTTTTCATGAACTGTTTAGATTTGGGGGGTAATTTAATTGTTTTCTTCAAGGTTGTAAATAGAGAGCCCTTGGTTAGATACTAGCTTGCCATTTGGTTTCTGTTGTAGCTGCCAGAAGGAATCATGACACCCTCAGAAATTATCACACATGTCATAATTCTCTGGAATGCCAGGTAACTGGGGAGCTCTTAAGGTAGCTAACACATGCCAGCTGTTTTATCCTTTTACTTACCTCCTTTATTATACGTACAGTACCTCTTTTCTACTAGCTGATATTAGAATACAGAGCTCATGGATTGTAAAATGAGACCTTCAAAAAATCAACTCATTATAAAGCCTTCTCTGTGCTTTTGTGCTGACCCAGTAATTGAGATTCTTAGGGATCACATATTCCTCAAAGAAGGTCCTTTATAGATAATGCGGGCCTTTTAATCGCTAGTTTTAAAAAAAAGATTAAAATACCCATGTCATCCTAGTTGCAAAAAAGTTAAATTTATTTTTTAAATTTTATTTTATTATTTTATTTTAAAGAGAATAAAAACCAATAAAAATGATACAGAATTTCAGAACAAGGTGCTAGGAAATTAACAATGGTTATTATCTCCCATATTGTTATTGTCACAGTAGTTACTCAGGTTATCAGACTACAATTGTCTTAGCTATTTTGTATGAGTGTGTGTGTGTATATATATGTATATATATATATGAGTTAAATTTAAAACAACAACAAGTAGCACACCACTGGAAAAATCACTTTTCCCTTTTAGCTTTTGTCCTAGTATAATGAAAGTTTTACATTCTCAGGCAGGGAGTCATATATATATATACATATATATACATATATATATACATATATATGTATATATATAAATAATCTTTCTAAAAAGTCAAAAGCTGTTTGACATTAATACGGGCAATGATTATGCAAAATTTTTAAAATGCCAAATTAAAATGAGTTCTGTGTTGACTCAGAGACCAGTAGGATCGGGAAAAGAATAATTCTGAAAACTCTCAGAATATGTAAGAAAGTTGGTGAATATGATTAAGAACTTTTTTTTAAGACATGCATCTTTCGAAATCCAGGTTCAAAGGGCCTCTGCTTGCATGTGCTTCACCGTGTCATAGAATGCACGCCTTAGAGGAACTCGAGTTTGCAGGGACTCTCAGGGCTGTTTTTAATATTGTTTAGATCTAGTCTATTGAGATTTTAATAAGTTCCATAAATACATCTGACTCATCTCAAAGTTTAAGAATCTTTGGTGTCATACCTCAACACTCTTCTCATTCAGAGAAGCTGAGTGGTTTGGCATTTTAATTTCAGTTCAAAGACAGACTTCCAGGATGAACCAAAAGTGAGGAAAAGTTGACACGGAAACTTTGGGTCGGTATCTGACATAGTTTTCTGAAGTCAAGTAAGAAAGCAGCCATTCATCAGGGTCCTGGCATACAGATGGCTATCGGGTGAACCCTTCCGTGCTTCAGCAGGGCGTTAGGGTCGATTACCCTGCACCAAGATGCTCGGACACTTGGCAAGTTCCTTGCCTTCGTTTCCATGGTCAGCAGGTCTCAACAGGACTATATTCCAGGGTGTGTAAAGGCCAGCTAGCTCACATTTTAATAAAGAGCTCATTGCTGGAGCTCATTGATCACTTTAATTTTTTTCATAGGAAAATATTCTTCAAAGCCCAAGTTCGAGTGTCACACCATTTTCCTTTATACCATTTTTACCACTACCCCAAACCTCCTGAAAGTGTTTACTTAGAGACTAGAACTTTTCCGAGCTGGACCCAGGCCCAGAGCAAGAAAAATGAAAGTAGAATACATATGCAGGCGTCTATTTGGCCTTTTTTAGTTAAAGCCAGATTCATAAATGAAACCCGCCCAAACACAGCCTTCAAGAACAAGATGTGACAACTCTCCCTTAAAGGGTCCTTTGTGGGCCAGAGAGTATTTTAAAATATAAATATTTGTATGTTTTGTCTGAAAAAGATTTTGTTCAAATTTCCTAAAGTAACAGAAAGAAAATATAAGAAGCCTTCCTCTGTGTTAGGAGTGGATTGTATGAAAGTGGTGGATACAAAAAAGTGCCAGCGGTGGAGGGATAGGAAAACACAGCTGTCAGCTTTATTGACAGTGCTGAGGTCTGTGAGTTTGGCAAGGAAAGGGATGCCAGACCGGAGGTCCTTCAGAGAGTGGCTGTGGTCTCTGTTCTGTCATCTTCAAGAAGACACTATTTGCAGAATGGGCTGCAGTCTGTGCCTCTTCCCCAACTGTACAATGTGGGTCTCACACTGCCTCTGTCTAACCCTGACTGCCCGCTTTGTGGGTCTCCTCTGCTGCCTCCCAGTCAAGATTTGTGTGTGTGTGTGTGGGGGGGGGGTACCGCTGCTGAGCTATGTCCCTGGCCCCCAGGCAAGATTTTTACTGTGAATTCATTTGGCTTTCCTGCAAAGCTGGAGTTGCAAAGGACATTACCTACCAACAGTTTACTCACAGATCAACTCCTCGGTAAATCCAAATCACTTCCTCTCCTTCCTCTGGTCTCTCCTCTCAGAAGTGCTGGTCCCAGCTCCTTGTACTCTTTGGACAGGGACCTTCATGCCCCTCACTGCTTGGTATTTTCTGCATCTGCCTGTTCAAGGTCTTGAGAGAGAGGCTCCATTTTTGGGCTTGGGGCCAAGTTCAGTCAATGCATGCCCTTTCTCCCTGGGAGGTGATTGTCAGAGACTTAACCCCTCGGGTAGATACTTTAGTGTAACTAAAGGTGTACTGATTCATTAGTGACTGATGAGGTGTTAAGAACACAGGGTTAGGATGCCTTCCTCTCCATCTCAGACAATCCAAATGTCCTCCAATAAAGAAGCAACAGTTTTAGGACTAACCAATGGGAATTGTTGGACAGAAACAAAGGGAGCTCTAACTGACACACCTTGGAGATCACATCGAAGACATGGACATCTACTTCCTCATTTCTGCACATCCACTAGTGCATGCTTAGCTTCTTTGTTGGGAGAATTGTTGGAACATTTTCTGTTTACTATCATTTAGAAGCACTGCTGTCAACACCAAACTAGAAAATGAATACCAAGTTTGCAAAATCCAGTTGAATCAAAATCTTAAGGTATATGTTCTTCTGTGTTCAGCACAGCCCCTGTTAGCAAGGAATATGTTCTAACCAAAGAACTATTAAGGAAGGATATGCAAGCTGGGCATGGTGAGGCACGCCCATCATCCCAAAAGTCTGGGAGCCTTAGGCAGGAGGATGGCAAGTTTGAGCCCAGCCTGGGCAACTTAGAATCTTGGGGAAACCTGTCTAAAAGATTTGGGATATAACTCAGTGGAAAGGCCCTTGTTCAATGCCCAGTATGGGAAGGAAAAAGGAAGGATCTATGGCAGACATGAAATACAAACAACATAATACAGGACCATAGTCTTCTAAGCTCCTCATGTCCAGTTTAAGGTCAGACCCATTGCAATCCCCTCAAAGGCGTGCTTGTTCTCTCAGTAAGTTTCCTGTTCCAGACTGTTGGGTGACCTGTAACTGCTAGGGCAACAGAATTCCCTGGAAGTTTCCAGTGTGAGGTTTCCTTGGAACAGGCTTGGACAAGGTTCCAGTCTTCTAAAGCTGATTACTTCACCATGGTGAATGCTGGCTCTGCACAGTAATCTATCCGGACTCTTACCTAATGTTGCCAATGGTTGTATAGTCTGAGGTGTGCATCTGATTTTAAACTATTGGATGAAATAATCTTTTTTCCTGATATTCATTAGACTGAAGTCATATAAATCTTCAGTTGGCTTGTTTAAATAAATACTGTATAACCAGATCTCTAGGAAAGGAAATTGGCTTATTAATATCTATGGACCTTTGATACCAAAATTTTCATATGATGTTATAATATAGTGAGTTTTGATAAGTAGATTACCTTAAAAAATGTTACCAGACTAGGTGTGGTGGTGCATGCCTGTAATCTGAGGCAGGAGAATTACAAGTTCGAGCTCCCCTCCCCTGGAACCTAGTGAGACCCTGTCTCAAGCGGCCTGGAGATATAGCTCAGTTTGAAGGGTTTGACTTCAATCCCCAGTACCACACACACACACACACACACACACACACCCCAGACACATCCCACAATCAAGGCATTCATTTGACATTTCTTCAACAAATACATTTTGAATAACAGATGGGTTATTCAAACCCTCTGCAAACAATGAAATATTTACTCATAATCAAGTGCTCATAATCAAGTGAAACAACACAATAAAATAATTAGAATAAATTATAATAAAAACATAAAAACATTGCATTTTGCCATACAATAACAGTCTGTACAGAATGCTATGAAACCCCCCCAGAATATGCTACTGACTAGGTGTGTCTCAGGGCAAAAAAATAAATTGGATAGAATTAATACAATATCATCCACAAATATGATGTAATTACCAAAAATAAGCTAGTATGACCTTGGGTTCTGATTATAGCAACATAACATCTAAAAGCTGGAATATAGTAGACATACCCGGACTCACTCTATTATATGCGGAGTATTGGGTTCAATTTGGAATCAAAATTAAATCTTATTATAAACCCTAAGCTCGTTCAGAACAGACCATCCACTTTGGAGAAGTTGATTAATGTTTAACTCCGCTGAATATCAAAAAAGCAGTCTAGGAGAAATACGCTTGCATTCAGCAAATATCCAAAGTTTTTTTTTTTTTTTTTTTTTATGGAAAGATGCATTGCATTTGCTTAAGACATCGAGTCAAATAAATAAGTAAATGAACAGTGGATGAAAACTGCAGGTACGCTAATTCTGACCAAAATTGGAGAGAATCTCCCAAGAATCAGAGCTATCTAAAAGATCAAACGGGGCTGGGAATGTAGCTCAGTGGCATAAGCACGTGCCCAGCAAGCACAAGGTCCTGAGTTCAATTCCTGGTACCAAAAAAAAAGACCCAAAAAACTAAAAGATCAAATGAATTGCCTCTTGACTTAATGGCAGAGTTTGCTTGATTGAAGTGGAAACTTTTATGGAGAATATTGCGAATACACACAAGCATTTGGTTATGGTTAGAATAAGTGATCTTCCAGTCTCTGCCAAACCTTAGATTTTATAATTTGGGAGTATGATTTTAATATTAGATATTATTCCCAAAGCACAGAAATTGAAATAGATGCTCTTCCTGAGTCATCAAGGAACTGCTGAGAGACAGAAAGAGAGACATTAAGCACAGAGGTATTTCTCTCTCTCTCTCTTTCTTTTTTCTTTCTATCTTTCTTTCCTTCTTTCTTTCGTTTAGTCCTGGGGATTGAATTTAGGGCTTTAAATTATCAGTATCACTTTGAGTTATAGCTCCCAGTCCTTATTTTATTCTGAGACTGTGCTGGAACTTGGAATTCTCCTACCCCGACCTCCTAGAGTGCTAAGATGACAGGCATTTCCCTCACTTCCCACTGAAGTGTAACTTTTGATGAAATTATCAACATTGTTTGACAGCTGTGGCGCTGATCTTTAGTCAGAGAACTCTGTGGAACCATTGAAGAACCACTGAAGAAATCTTGGGGTCTTCCCAATCTGTAGGCTTCCATGACATCAGTGGTAGTGCAGTGAAACGCCAACTAGCTCAGGAGTACAAAGGAAAATATTTCAATAAGGAATCATCTGACAGCCAAAAATAAATAAATGAATGAATAAAATAGATGAGTGTTCTTTTCTTGTATATCTTGTAATTGTCTTATGACCAGTGCATGACAGGTGGTAATAAATGAATCACTTAGCAAGTGACATCCTTTTTTTAAAATTTTACTTCTCTTTTCTTAATTTTCTTTTTCAAATGACAGTCTTAAGAAAGTGTAATAAGGTCTTGGTAGTTATGTAATGAAGGTCAGTAAGAATCTCTTCATTTTCCACTAACTAGAGAATCACATGATTCTGTACCTTACAAGAAAGTAAATACCAACAATACACAAAGTGATCATGCTTATGTACTGTGAAGACTACAGTAAAGACTGGGAGAGAAACAACGATAGGAAGAGGCAGATCGTGCAGCAAAAAGCACGGGGTAGTCCTTCAGCGAGATCAAGGGGCCGACACTTCACAGAGGGTTTATGTGCCAGATGCTCTGCTTACTCATGGGTTCTCTTAACTCCATGAGCAAGGTTTTGTAATAGTCATTCCCTTTGATGAGTGAAGAAACACAGGCACAGAGAGGTGAAGTGCCAATGTTCAAGAGCACACAGTTGGCTGGGATTTGAACTCAGACAATCTGGCTCAAGAAATCAAACAATGGGCCGGGGATGTAGCTCGGCAG